CATCTGTGTTGGGCTTTACACAATAGGAAGGAATCACAGGTTAGTAGAAAGGAACCGTCCCCCTGTTCTCTAGGACCGTGGTGGCAAACCTATGGCACGGGTACCAGAGGCGGCACTCAGAGCCCTCTCTGTGGGCACGCGCGCCGTCGCCCCAGTCCTAGGCCTTCAGCTGGGTTTTATAAAACCTTTTTGCTTTAGGCTTCTGCCGCCATGTGCAAAAAAAAAAAAAGGCTCAATCAATCAATTTCAACTTCTCGCGGGGAAAAAAAGATCTTGCAAAGTTGGAGTTGATTGATTGAACTTTTTAGTCGCATCCAGTCTGCCGTTACCACCACAGCCACGCCCACCCAATTGGCCACACCCAGCCAATGGGCCACACCCACCCGGCACCCGACGATACATAAGTGGGTTTTGGGTTGCAGTTTGGGCACTCGGTCTCTAAAAGGTTCGCCATCACTGCTCTAGGACATTCAGGCAGTCCTCGACTTATAAAAGTTCATTTACTGCCCGTTCAAAGTTACAACGGCATAGGAAAAAAGTGACTTATGACCATTTGTCACGTGACTGCTGCGGCATCCTCATGATCACGTGATCAAAATTCAGAAGACTACCTGCATTTAAAAACAAGTTTTTAAAAAACATGGAGAAAAAAAGAAAGAAAAACACCAGCTCTTCGAGGTAGCCAGGGCAAGAAGCAGACATGATAAGTGTTGCAGGAATGCTTTTTATTGTAGCAAGCTACAACAAGAAATTCTGTCCCACCTTATACTAAGCAAAATCAAAATGGGGCTAGTTTGAGTTTCTTTCTCACCCTTTTTTCTCCGGGGATGTTGTCCTCTTTTCTCAAAATCCCAAGGTCACATCTGTATTCTTTCACTGGCAGTAAGAAAAAAGATGGAGGGGAAACAAGAAACCCCTGCTAAACCATTCCACGTAACGCTGGCGATTTTTTTTTTCAATTGTTAGAAAACCCAACTGTTCCAAATTCAAAAAAACCACTCCATTCTTCATTGCAAAATTCCGACTCTGCGCCCAAAATGGAAATGCAATTCCAACTTGGGTGGTTTCACATCCCAAAATCTTTGAACTGCTCTGCTTGTTTCAATGCTAGGAAAAATCTTACTGATTCTGCACCAGACTTGCCTTTGAAAGCAGATTTATAGGAACCAGCGAGGTAACTAGAATAGGGGTCTTCAAACTTGGCCCTTTTATGATTTGTGGACTTCAACTCCCAGAATTCCAGGAGTTGACGTCCACAAGTCATAAAAGGGCCAAGTTTGAAGACCCCTGAACTAGAATTCCCAAAGGCTCCTTCGGAGCCCCAATAACAAGGTATTCAACCAGCCAGCAAAATCAAGCAATCCAATTATCTGAAGAGCCATTGACTTCCACTTCAAGAATCCATATCCGGGAGGCAATTTTTTATTTTATTTTTTTTAGCCCTGGGAACCAATTCAGCACTAACACAAACGCATGCCTGGACTTCACAAAATAACACAAACTACAACTGACCAGTCATTTTTGTTACTTAATCGAGGGATATTATTTGAGAAAAACTGCCATAAAACAGAAGGTGATTGCCATTATCCTGATGGGTTAGCCTGATCCAAGTGGAAATACAAGCAGGGGAATCCATATATTTGTCAGCTGCCCCTTATTAAGTCCTTATATTTATGTTCCAGGAGCTCTGGGCAGGAATAGATTAGACACTCAGCTCTAAAGCCCCTAGAGAACAGACATTACGCATCACACACTGACTCATGAATTTTGATAAACAAACCACAATAGCTGGATTCATGCAACACTTAAACCAGAGGCCCCCAACCTTTTGAGCACCAGGGACCAGCTCCGTGGAGAGAGGTTTTTCCATGGAGTGGAGGGGACGTGGTTTATTGTACTGCCAGTATCCCGCAGATGGGGCTTTGCTTGTTTGCGTGGACCAGTTGCTGGCATGCCACGGCCCGGAACCGGTCCACAGCCCGGGGGTTGGGGACCCCTGCCTTAAACCACAGCTAAGCATATACATGCACATGCATGCTTAAGTCTTGGTAGTATTAACAGAGGGATAGAATCAAGATCACGCGAAGTGTTAATACCATTTTATAAGGCCTTGGTAAGGCCACACTTGGAATACGGCATCCAGTTTTGGTCACCCCGATGTCAAAAAGATGTTGAGACTCTAGAAAGAGTACAGAGAAGAGCAACAAAGGTGATCAGGGGACTGGAGGCTAAAACATATAAGGAACGGTTGCTGGAATTGGGTGTGTCTAGTTTAATGAAGAGAAGGATGAGGGGGGACATGATAGCAGTGTTCCAATATCTCAGGGGCTGCCCCAAAGAAGAGGGAGTCAAGCTATTTTCCAAAGCGCCTGAAGGCAGGACAAGAAGCAACGGATGGAAACTAATCAAGGAGAGAAGCAACCTAGAGCTAAGGAGAAATCTCTCTGATAGTTAGAACAACTAATCAGTGGAACAACCTGCCTCCAGAAGTTGTGAATGCTCCAACACTGGAAGTTTTTAGGAAGAGACTGGACAGCCATTTGTCTGAAATGGTATAGGGTTTCCTGCCTGAGCAGGGGGTTGGACAAGATGACCTCCAAGGTCCCTTCCAACATCATCATCATGATCATGAATGAGCTTCTGGAAGAAGCACAGAAGATATACTTGTGGAAAAAATAAATAGGTTTGGTGATTGGCTAAAGTTCATTAATGAGAGCTTCAGGCTGATTCAGGGATTTGAACCAGCATCTCCCCAGTCTTAGTTCAACACAACCTTAATGCCCTAGATGGGTCTCCCGGTTCATAGCTTTAAAACTTCCTGAGACCCTTGTTTGGAGCCAGAAGAAGCTTCTGAAGAGACAGAGCGCAGGGGTAACAATAAAGGATCACAAGATCTGAGAAGTGCCCACTCGGCTATAATTTCCTGGGATATAATTCCTATAACCCTAATTACTATTCAGATACACCTGGCTAAATGCATTTTTTTTTCTTTTTTGCACACGGATGGACACCACGCACCTACTTACTTTTGCAAGCTACTTTGAAAAGTTTGGAAACTGCATTGCTCAGACTGGACAAAACAGCCATTGGGGAACTCATGAGTTCTAAAGAGAACCTAAGGAAAACTAACGCTTTTAATGTTTTGATCGTTGGGCTTTTATGCCATCGTAAGCTACCCAGAATCATTCTGGAGAGTGAAGCAGATGGCGCATAAATTTAATTAATAAATAAACTGGAGGGTGACAGTCTGCAATTAGTTTTTTTTTTTTTGTCCGGCACCGTGCACCGTTCATTCCTACGCCAGTTTATTTGGAAACAAATCAAATTGCATTCAAGGGCTACTCCAAGTCAAATAGGCACGGCAGCCTTTAACAAGCTGGCATTCTTAAAAGACGTGCGATTCTCAGAGCTCGCAGCCAACCCCTGCAAATCCTGGCTTGCAGTACCGGAACTGGCAGTCTGATCCAACAAATTCACTAGGATGGGTAAACAAATACTGTAAGCGAGAGCTGCAGTGCTAAATTGGAATTTGCAGAAAGACAGTTTGCCTCAAGTGAGATGCCAACCACGGGCGGGAGTTAGAAAGGAAGGATTCAGCCATCAACACTGCCTGGGCACAGAGCTAGTAGCAAGGGCTCCCCAAATCTACTTCTATTTAAAAATCACGGAGCGAATTCGGACCGGCCATGGGTTCTCAGCCTAATCTATTTTATAAAGGCATCGTGAGAGTCATAATGCACCCAGGGAAGAAAGAGGAAGAACAATACACCCCAATGCACTGATATTTTAATGAGAGGGTCCAGACTTTGCCCGCTATCCTTATTTCACCCAGCAGTCACTCCAATTTGTCCTCTTCTCCCCTTTCTCTTATCTAAGTGAAACTCACCAGGCACTTCATCATGGCATAAATCCCCCTAGCAGATTCTAGCAATGCTTCAGCTGCTGGCTTGTTTGTGATACAACTAAAGGAATTCAATCCGATAACGCTTGTAATCTGGGGTGTGTGGGGGTGTGGGAGGGTGGGGGTGTGGGAGGGATTCCCAATCCCACCCCACCTTTTCAGTTACAGCCTTTTCTCCGTCCTTGCTTCAGCTCTCAGGAAAAACACCTGCTCATCTTCTTCCCAGCTCTTTCCAGGTCTTAAGCATTTAAAAAAAAACAAACCCTGATTTAAGTAAGCCCTCTTTTAACCCTTGAGAGGGTTGCTGGTTGAAATCTGCTGAGGGGAGGGGAGGGGAAGGGGTGGGGGCCCGCAGCTCCAGAGACCAGTCTCGGTGCTCACTCGCCAAGGGTGCTCCAGCCTCACGGAGCACAGCCTACGCCTTGGAGAGCTGCCTTGCCTGGCCGGTAAACTGGCAACGCGACAAACCAGCTTTTTTTAAAAAAAAATATATTTATTTTAAAGTTTCTCCACTGCTAAACATGGCGTGCCCCCCCCCCCCGCCCAGCCGCCTCGGGAATCACAGGACGCCTCGCTTCTTCCCGACGCCGTTTCAGCACCCAGGACCGTCCGCGAGAGATCTGCGCCCCCTCCCCTCCTCCAGATGTTGACGACCTTCCAAGCCCCCAGCATCTCCTTCCGGGAGTTGCCAGCGACGGGGGGTACAACATCTGGAGGGCCGCCCAGCTTCCCCTCCCCGGGATCGGGTGGGCAACTTCGACGGCAACCCAAGACGCGCTCTTGAACGGAAGGGAGAGAGGGGGGGGGACGCTGTCCTTCCCGGGCGGGACGATGGGAGTTGTAGTAGTGGAAGGCGTCCGGGAAGCGCCGGCTGGAGAGCTCCGCTGGCTGAGCGCAACGGGAAGGGCGGTCCGGCTAGCCGGGAGGCGCAGCCGGGGTCTCTGGGTCGGGGAAGGCGGCCTCCCGCCAACTCCGACGGGACTCCCCCGGAGGAGGGAAGGGGCACCCGGGCGGGCCCCCCCTGCCGCCCCCCCTGCAGACGCCCCTCCGGGCTCTCGGCCCGAGGGAGCGCCCAGCCCAGCTCGGCGCTCCGACTCACCCCATCTCCCGGCACTTGTCTCCGGGCGCGAAGCTGGGCGGCGAGAGCGCGCCGGCCGGCAAGGTCGTCTCCTCCTCGCCCCCTCGCTCGTCGCCGGCCAGCGCGGGGCGCGTCCCGACCTCGCACATCCAGCTGTCCAGAGGAGCGCGTCCTCTCGCCACCGAGGCGCCCGCCGGCCTGGCTCCAGGCGCTGCGCTGCGCTCTGCTCTGCCCTGGCCCTCCGAGCGCCTCGGGGTCGCCTCCGGGGAGATCCGCGCCGTCGGGAAGGGCCGGCTGGGCGAGGGAAGGCAGGCGGGCAGGCGGGCGGGCGGGCAGGCAGCGGCGGCTCCAGCGGCTCGTCCCACCTGCTTCGCCCGCAGCCGCCTCCCACTCGCGGGGCGGAGAGAAGCCGGCAGCACGCGGCGGCGGCGGCAGCGGCGGGCAGGCGGGGCCAGGGGCGGACCGTTCCAAGCCGGGCGCTCCGGCTGCGCGCGATCCTGAGACGCCGACGACGCCCCCGCCGCCGCGGAGAGGCTGGCAAGTTCCCGGCCGTGGTGGTGGTGATGGAGAGGGGGGTGTGAGAGACGTCGCTGCTGCGTGGGACCGGGAGGGCTCCTTCCCCTGGGCGTTGCGCGCGGGCGGGATCGGAGACGGGTTCCCGTCTGGTGGGCAGGCAAGGCTGTGAGTGGCTATTTGCACAAGGCTAAATCCGCTTTGGAAGAGGACAGCTGAAGAGTGAGTGAGAGGTGTCCTCCTCTCCTCCCGCGCCTTTTCTTTCTTTCTTTCTTTCTTTCTTTCTTTCTTTCTTTCTTTCTTTCTTTCTTTCTTCCTTCCTTTCTTTCTTTTTCTTTCCTTCCTTTTTCTTTCTTTCTTTCCTTCCTTCCTTTTTTCTTTCTTTCCTTCCTTCCTTCTTTTTCTTTCCTTCTTTCTTTCTCTTTCTCTTTTTTCTTTCTTCCTTTTCTTTCTTTCTTTCCTTCTTTCCTTTTTTTCTTTTTCTTTCCTTTTTTCTTTCTTTCTTTCCTTCCTTCCTTCCTTCTTCTTTCCTTTCCTTCTTTTTTATTTCCTTCCTTCTTCCTTCCTTCCTGCCTTCCTTTCTTCCTTCCTTCCTGTTTCTTTCTTTCCTTCTTTCCTTCTTCTTCCTTTCTCTTTCTCTTTCCTTCCTTCCTTCCTTCTTTCTTTCTTTCTTTCTTTCTTTCTTTCTTTCTTTCTTTCTTTCTTTCTTTCTTTCTTTCTTTCTTTCTTTCTTTCTTTCTTTCTTTCTTTCTAAAGCATCTTGAAAACACCATCTTAAAAGCTCCCCAAATCCTAGCAGGATAGTGGAGTGGAGTGGGACACTGTGACCGTCATAAATATGAATCAGTTGCCAAGCATCTGAATGTAAATCACAAGACCCTGGAGATGCTGCAACATTCCAGCTGATTGGCGCTTCTTCTGGGCTCAGCAAAAGTGCCAGGATCAATGCTGCTTTCCAGCTGATTGGTGCTTCTTCAGGGCTCAGCAGAAGCGCCAGGATCAGTGCCGAGCTCCAGCTGGAGCCTGGCGCTGATCCTGGCGCTTCCGCTGAGCCCTGACAGCCCTGCAGCTCCATCCGTCTCTCGCTCAGACTTGTGCGGTGCTGCCACCGGTTCAGCTCATTCCCCTCCCCCACTACCACTTTTCTAGGATGGTCGCGTACCACCTGCCAGGTGCCAATGTACCACAGGTGGTACCCATACCACTGGTTGAAAAGCCCTGCTCTAAGTCAGTCAACCAGCAGACTGTGTGGACCAGGAAAGTAGCAGAACAAGGTGGAACTTGTTTAGGCTTGAAATCTAAGCAGAATGAGGCTTGGTCGGAATTTGGATGGGAGGATTGTCAGGTTGCTGTAGGCTAGACTGGAAAGCCAACAAAAGCCAACACAGCTCAGAATTTGTAAAGCATGTCCAGGTTGTTGCCAAGAAAACTGTGCGGGCTGGTTGACGAGGTCAGCAGGAATCCAGCTTGACTCGAAGGAGACTTTAAAGAGGTGTTTGACAAAAACACCACCAACCTCCCAACCCAGTATAATTCTAAACTACAGTCCTTGTACATTTCTGGCACTCCAAAACTTCCTACACTTCAGAGGTTGGGTGCAGTGACAGCACTGGGTGCCGGAAACCAACTTTCAAAGAGAAACATATTTTTTCAGCAAATCACGTCTTATAAGTAAGATTGCTTTAAATTCAATTTTCGGTAGGAACCCGTTGCAATCAAAAGAATCTCTCACGGCGACACACACAGGGAAAGCACAAACCAAATCAATACAAAATCACGTTGCAGCGAACGATAAACCAAGCTGTGGTTAAAGGCAGCAGCTGTGCACAAGGAAAATCTAGAAATACCCCAGCCATATAAAGCTCTTTCAAATTTGACATCTCGGAAGAAAAAAGTGTGAGACAAAATTATTTCTGTCTAGGAGGAAACTATCATCTACTGGGCCAAAATGCATTAGGCTAAATCAGGGTTTCTCAACTTCAGCAATTTTAATAGAGGTGGACCCCAGCGCCCAGAATTCCCTAGCCAGCATACTTAAACCATACGGTGATTTAAGTATAATGCAAAGACAACCAGGGTAAAAATATAAGAACGAGTTTAATGAAGAGAAGGACGAGGGGAGACATGATAGCCGTCTTCCAATATCTCAGGGGCTGCCCCAAAGAAGAGGGAGTCAAGCTATTCTCCAAAGCGCCTGAAGACAGGACAAGAAGCAACGGGTGGAAACTGATCAAGGAGAGAAGCAACCTAGAACTAAGGAGAAACTTCCTGACAGTTAGAACAATTAATCAGTGGAACCACCTGCCTCCAGAAGTGGTGAATGCTCCAACACTGGCTTTCCCAGGCGGCTTATCCCCTCCTCATTTCTGATCTTGTCAACCCAGCTTATACGTAACAGCCGCCTGTAAATCCACATTTCAAATGCTTCCAGTCTCTTCAGGTGGCCTTCTGTCAGAGACCAACTCTCTACTCCATACAGCAGGATAGAAAAAAATACAGCATCTGACAAGCCTGATTTTCAGTCTTAGGCTTATGTCGTGACTGCAGAAGACCTTTTTCATTTTGAAGAATGCTGTTCGGTGCTTTTTCTGTCCTTGTCTTTACTTCAACGGTCATGTCCCAGCTTTCATGTAAATTCATTGGTTTTCACTTCTCTTTAAATAATGCGGCTAAAAAAAAGTGGCGGCTTTAGGGTGACTCGTAACAAGTCAGTTAGTCAAATGACTAGGAAGGGCAAAATTTAAGGGATGGCATCAGAAGGATGCTCAAGGAGAGCAGAACTGGATTTTTTCATTATGACTATCCAAAATGACTTGTTTTTTGCCTCCCAGCAAAATCCTTTTTACGGCTTTCTAAATGCATACGTTCACACTGGTGGCCCTCAGACCCCTGCAGCCTTAAACAGAAGGATTGCAGCTATTCTACTCACAGTGCAACTTAAAAGTGAAATTCTATCCCAGGCATGATATCAAAGACCACTCCAGGGAAGTTGGAGCGTGTTTCATATCACCAAGGCCGCAGATTGTAATCGCACACCCCCCTCCTCGGGTTACAAAAGCTTAAGAGGTTTCAAGCACTACTCTGAAGTGCAGCCTGGAGCTGAAATATCTAATTAAAAACTCTGAAAAGCAGGCAAGCCGTTGCACTCTTCTACATTTGGGGCAAATGTACAGGTCGTCCTCAGCCACAATTGAGCAAAACCTTTCTGTGGTTAAGCAAGATGGTTCTTAAGTGAGTTTTGCCCCCTTTTTACGACTTTTCTGGCCACAGTTGTTACATGAATCGCTGAAGTTGGTAAGTTAGTAACCCAGTTGTTATTCTGAAGTTGGAAACAACTTCTAAAATCATACAGAATAATCCTACAGGGTAGAGGCAGAATCCAAAGCCAAGAGGAATAGGATTCAAAAAACATATGAGGAACGGTTGCTGGAATTGGGTATGTCTAGTTTAACGAAGAGAAGGACGAGGGGGGACATGATAGCAGTGTTCCAGTATCTCAGGGGTTGCCATAAAGAAGAGGGAGTCAAGCTATTTTCCAAAGCGCCTGAAGGCAGGACAAGAAGCAATGGGTGGAAACTAATCAAAGAGAGAAGCAACCTAGAACTAAGGAGAAACTTCCTGACAGTGAGAACAATTAACCAATGGAACAACCTGCCTCCAGAAGCGGTGAATGCACCAACACTGGAGGTTTTTAAGAAGAGACTGGACAGCCATTTGTCCGAAATGGTATAGGGTTTCCTGCCTGAGCAGGGGGTTGGACTAGATGACCTTCAAGGTCCCTTCCAACTTTACTATTATTATTATTATTATTATTATTATTATTATTATTATTATTATTATTATTATTATTATTATTATTATTATTGTCAGAAGGTTGCCAAAGGGGACCCCATGCAGCTCGAGCCTTACACGAAGCCATAGTTTATTTAACCCTGGATTTAGTGAAGAAAGCCATTTGGTAGGAGTCGTATAACATGCCAAGATGCAAAGGAGGAGATCATATTATAACTTAGCTGTGCAAACTCAGTAGGTTGCCACACAGGATGATATTCATTAAGAGGCCTTTCCAACTTCTCAAGCCTGTGTGTTATCTGGAATGTTTTGACAGACAAGGCAACAAACCACACAAGAACAAAATCGAATATTATAAAGGAAAAGCAACGCTGTGCAATTTTGGAAGAAGCCCGCCTCGTTTCCAAGCTAATTAAATAACAAAATCATTTCATTCTGCAGAGTATTTTTTTTTCCTCTCGCATACGCCTGTAATTTGAGCATTTTGAAATCTCAGCCTCTCTGTCACTCAAATCCCCATGCCTTAGAAAAATTGCAGACATCTGCTTAAAATATCCATCTCTGTGTCATCGGAGATTCATAATCCAAACTCGCGTAATGAACAGAGGCTTATATTTCAAACCAACTAGACAGTTTAACATTTTAATGCTTCCTTTTTCAATTCCGGGGGACATCGTCCTGCACGCAGTAAAGCCTGTGTACTGCAAATTGAAAGGCTACCGATGAATTTTTAATACCAATTCATTAATTATCTTTCTCCATCTATATCGCTGCCCTGAGCGTGTGTTTGAGGATGATGTACATTATCCATGACAATAATAAATCTACAAAGACCACACAATAA